GGTGGGGCACAGGGCCTGGAAGGTAAATGAAGCTCCTGGGGAGTCGAAAGCGTGGGGACTGGCCTCTGGCTCCAAGGGCCACTCTCTCAATCCCTTGGGGCCTGCTCACAGGCCAGGTATAGATCCTGGCTGGGCCCCCAGGACACAGTCCCCTGGCTGGGCCACAAGAGGGCTGAAGAGAGAGTGAAACAAGTGCCGAGGGCTTGCTGAGCTCTGACCTCAAGCTGATAAACTGGACACATTTTATGGTCATCTGGTATAATCTCAGCAGCTGAGGGTGAGGTCAGGGTTCCAGCCTCTACGGGAGGAAGCGAAAGCTCTTAGAGATCAAGGCAGTTGTCCCAGGTTGCCTGGCTTGCAAAGGGCAAAGGATTGTTCCAAACCCCACTCCGTGGGGCTCCCAAACTTGCATCCTTCCCATTCTTGTCCCCAGCTGCCCTCCTGGTGGGGGGCCTGGGGGTGGGAGCCGGCAAGGGTTGCCAGACTGGTGCTGGGGCTGTGACCCCATGGGCCTGAACCCAGATGGAGACAGCCTGCGGAGGAGAGCCCCGAGTTTGGAGCGCTACAGGCAGAGGGTTCAAATCTCCACACTTGCAGGCTGTGGGTTCTTGGGCAAGTCACTCAACCCCTCTGAGCCTCAGAGAGGTTGCTTCATCTACAAAACAAAGATAGTTGGCCCTGCTCCAGGAGGGGAGAAAGGGGTCAATGGAAGTTCTTAGTCAGTGGAAAGAATTGGGCAAGGGACGGTGGGGTTTAGAGCATTAGGTGGAAGGCCCTGGAGGATTCCAGAATCTAGACTCTCCTAAGTAACAGTTCTTGTCCTTGGCTCTTGTATTTCAGTGCAAGAGCCAGGGCTGAAAGAATGTAAGTAGGACTGCCAGAGAAATTTTGCATAGGATGTGCTCATACTAAAAAATTATCCATGGTTGCCCGGCCAGTGTGGCTCAGTGGTTGAGGGTTGTCTCATGCACCAAGAGGTCAAAGGTCAGGGCACATGCCCAGGTTGCAGGCTTGATCCCCCAGTAGGGGGCAGGCAGGGGGTAGCCAATTGATGTTTCTCTCTCACATCCATGTTTCTTTCTCTTTCTCCCTCTCACTTCCTCTCTCTCTAAAAGCAATAAAAACATATTTTTAAAACATTATTCATTGTTCACATGAAATTCAAATTTAGCTGGGCGTCCTGTATTTTTCTTTGCTAAGTCCGGCAATCCTGAATATACTTACTACATGAGACTAAAACCAAATGAGAAGTTATGTGGTACACACTGCAAGTAGGGCAGAAGCCCAGACACAAGGCAGAGGGAGTAATCCAGAAGGCTGCCTGGAGGGGGCGCAATCACCCATAGGCCTCCAGGCTTGTTATTTTGTGACAAGGGAGCTTGCTGAGGAGAAGCTGTTCAAGTCTCCCAGCCATGCCTGAGCTTCCTTTCTGTCCCATCCTGCCAGAGCCCGTGTCCCAGCTGCAAGCTAACTTCACCCTGCTGGACAGGTCGTCAGGCCCGAGGGTAGAGATATCCTGCCAGGCATCCTCGGGCAGCCCACCCATCACCTACACACTGGTCGGAAAGGACGGGCGTATCTACATGCAGCAGACACCACACCATGGGCAGCCCGCCAACTTTTCCTTCCCACTGACCCAGACGTTAGACTGGTTCCAGTGCAAGGCGGAGAATGCCATCAGCGCCCAGAGCAGCCCCCTTACACTGGTGCCCCCAGGTGAGAGGGCCCCTTGGTTTCCAGCTGGCACTTCTGGGTAGGTGGGTGAGAGGTGCCAAGAGCAGGGAAGGGCATCGGGAAGCAGCCCTGCCTACCCTGGCCCCTCCTGCCTCCTTCACAGGACAGCTGCCCAAGGAAGCCACCATCGTGCTGGCTGCCAGCCTCACCTCCATCGCGGCCATCACCTCCGGGATGCTGAGCTGGACCGCATGGAGGAGGTAGGCGGTGGGTGCTGGATGTGGGGGACGGGGAGGAAAGCGGGTGGCCTGTGTGAACCAGCAGAGGCCCTGGCTGGAGAGCAGAGGGTGGTGGGTTTGTAGGGCAGGGCTCCCACCGGGACAAAGAAAGCGCCGTATCACTTGGGTGGGACTTGTAGAAGCTCATCAAGGGCCTGCTCTGTGCCACGTGCCTGCTGAGGGCTGGCTCATTCGTGGCGTTACGTGACCCTGCCCACTGGCCCCAGTGTGCGGCCCTGCAATGCAGTCGGCTGGCCCCTGAGTGGGGCACTCCCCTGGGTTCCTTATGGGCCTGAGGAGGGATGTTAGGGTGGGGGACATGCCTCCCGGGACCAGGGTGGATCAGGAGCTTCTGACCTCCATGGAAACCATGTAGGTCACTGCTTCCCAGCTGGTGACAAGAGGCAGGGATTGGACCTCCTGGGGTCCCTTCTCCAAGGTCATCATCATTCCAATAACTTGTAAAGTGACCAGGGCCTTTGTGTTGTGCAAACCCAGGTGCCACAGGCCTCTGTGTGCTTCACCTGCCCGGCCTGTGGCGCAGTCGCCTGAGCCCATCAGCTTCTCACCTCCCTTGGTTCCAGACACTGCTGTCCCCTGGCCCCGCCTCCTCGGTGGGCAGTGTCTTATCCCGTGGCCTCTGCCTCCAAAGTCTCTGTCCTTCCCAGAGGCCAGACTCGTGGGAGAGCTGTGTCACCTCTCTCTAAGCCTCAGTTTTTCCTTCTATAAAATGGGGTGTAGAGACCTGACTCCTACTCACCATGTGACTGGGGCAGTACTTGCCCTCTGGGTGATTCAGTGCCCCCTTTCATTTAGTGGAATGACAAAGCCTCACGCCCCTCTTCCTGCCCTGGGCACCGATGCACTTGGCACCATAAAATTCCAAGAGGCCTTGGGAGGGGTGGCTGGGAGGTGCGTCTCCCTAACCTGGAGTCTCACCTCCTTTGTGATCAAGGTTGTGACCGGAAGATGCAAGCTCAGCGGAGTCCCCGGGGAGAGCCCCAGCCTTGCCCCCCGCAGGATGACCCCCCGTGTGAATGAAGAGCAACCCCAGCAGCCTGGATGCCTGCAGCCCCGTGCTCTGCGGGGAGGGTTGCAGGATGGGGTCGGGGCTGTGGGGGAAGAGGTCTGAAAGACAGAGGGGCTCGGCAAGGGCCCTGACCTCGCCCCTCTGCTGCTTGTCACCGCGCACACCGGGCTGGGAAGAAGGTGGGGGTCGACTGAAAAGGCCCAGCTGCACCCCCACCCAGGGCCTCCCCACCACACGCGGGCTCCCCTCCTCCCCAGAGCGGCACCCCATCTCCTGGAGGCCCAGTCCTCTGGCTCCACCCACTGACGGTCCTGCTCATCTGGGAGGACTGGGCCCCACCTGGCCAGCACCCCCCCCCCAACCTTACCTGTAACAGCAAAGGAAGGCTGTCTGGCCTGTGGCCCCCGAAGCAGGCACCCCAGCCCCGCACGGAGCCGTCCGTGTTCAGACGCTCCGACCCGGCTCAGGCAAGACCTGGATTAAACTCTGCCCCGCCTGTGGCCTGGCCCCCCGTTTCTGTCCGCACAGCATCCTGCAGCCCCGACGCCTGAAGCCCCACCGCTTCTCTACCTGGGCGCGGGACCCAGCCCAGGAGAAACGGGGGGCGGCCTGGACCCCACCCCTGCTTAGGCCAGGCAGGGAGGGGCCCGGCTGTGGCCCGCGGGCCCCACGGACGAGGGGTGCGCACAGGGCCCGCGTCCCGCCGGCTTCCTGGAGGAGGCGGCGGGCAGCAGGGCAAAGCGTGGGCGGG